TAATTCTTAAAATCCCAGCTCTACTAATACTATAATACACATGTATCTATTACTGATTTGCACACAGTAATAATATGGCTTTATATGAGTGAGCACAAGATTTCTGCACCTTAAATTAGCTAAGACCGTATATATTTTAAAAGTATTTACTCCAACATGCTGGGTACTATTCTCTGTTGAGTAACTGCATACTCTTATTGATATTGCACTTTTTCTTTAAATGCAATTCCTTCCTACACTGCCTGGATACAGTACCTTGCTGACATCAGATATGAGATTATTTTGTGAACTCCTTCGGGCACAGATAAGGTCTTTTTATCTGTATTATGAGGAGCCCTGCACACTCTTGAACCATGTCAAATAAAATTTAGAAAGACTTAACCTGACCTTTCATATATTTTTGTGACTGGCCCCTTTAAGAAAGAGTGGGTGTCCAGTGCACCTGTGACTGATTAGCTGTTACTCAATTGGGTTTAACTAAGTCAAGGCACATGGGCCTGAGGAGACAGAAGACAAGAAGAGGAAGGGGAGAACTGCCTGGCAGAAGCAAGGAAAGGTGTAGGAAAGAACTGCCTGAGAAATACATAGAGAATAGCAGGTAAGAGCTACCTGGGAGGAACAAGGGATAGCTGCCTGGGAGAGACAGGAAATTTCTGCAGGTATTACTTGGAAATAGGGAGGAACTGGCTAGGAGGCAAGTGGAAAGGTTAGCCTGCTGACCTTCCTGAGCTGGAGAGCCAGTGATAGGAGGCTGAAAAGGGTTCAGTCGTTGGATTGCGTTTGGGCAGAAGTGTCATGAAACTGGTCACTCTCAGGTGGATGGCAAGGAGACTGGAGCTCTGGAACAAGAGCAGAAAAGAACTGGGAACTGAGTGCTGGTGGACTCAGAGGTGGATGATCTAGAAGTAATCTCCCTGAAAATGGGAATGGAAAATTGTAATACATTTCTATGTTTTACTGTGGGTATTGACAGAACGGTTTTAGCACGAGGATTCTATAGATTATTGCATGTATATGTGAATAAAACGTGCCCACAGGTGGGACTCTGAATTGGACAGTGAGAGGAACTGTGCTCTTATTATGGCTAGACCAAGGGGAAACTGAGACAGCCATACTTGTTCTGCTGCAGCCTGCTGCAAGAGGTCTCCACAGGCAGGGGCTGCCTTCTCACATACTTACAAGCCTAAAAGGAGATTTTAAAAGAGATTTTGTGGTAAATCTTATGAGATGCTGAAGAGTGATTGTGAAATTACCTTGTTTCTCCACAGTACATGGCCAAATAGAGGACTGGAAGACTCAGAGACTAGCTCTTCACAGTCAAATCTCACAAAAGAAATTTAGGAGAGAATTTTTTCCCCCTTTTTGAAAACTATTTTTCCTTCACCTTCACTGCTGCATGCATAAAATTTAAAAATTCTGTGAATCCTGAAAGGCCTCCTCTGAATTCGGAATCTTACTATCCTAAGAGGCACTGAAATATACTACAAGAAGCAGTGCTTCTTGTCTGGTATGGAGCATACAAGACGATTCTTCAAATGTCACACAGCAGCTACAGGAAGTCTCAAATAATATTTATAAAAGACTATTTTCTAACAGTTACTCTAGTAATTAAGCATAGTAAGTGTGACACAGAGGCCTACTGGTGATTCATTACTGTGTGTCAGGTCTGACATACTCACTACACTTAACATAGTGTTATCATGATATATACCCAGAAGATGGCATGTGATATATCACTGGAAAACTAATAACTCACTAAGCATTAATATTCCTGCATGATGTATGTATGGGGTGTGTACAAAGAGTTATAAATATGTGCTAGAATTACGTTCCTAAAATGTGTTTGGCAAGCGATGGATAAGCACAATTTGCCCTTTAACCAAAGGAACGGGTATCTGCTTGTCTGTCTAGCCTTGTCATCAGCCAGACACAATGAAAGTATATTTACATATAAAGTAAACAAAGCTATCAAGCTAACAAGCATGGGAGAAGGCAGCAAGGCATCTACATCACATCAGGAGAGAGAAACTTCATCTAGAGATACACCTCAGAAGAATAAATTTCAAATGTTTATTGAGTTATAAAGACAGGGCTTTTGAAACGCAACTGATAAGTAATTGAATCAACTGATTGTATACAATATTACTGTATTATACAAGTGCATTGAGTAAGATCTTTTATGTAAGCCTGTGACACACAGTGAATAATATCGTGAAATGTATGCGTTAACACTATATGAGGAATTATGGATACTAGCTGATATTATGCTTTAAAGTCTGTGACCAAACACAGGGAGAAACAGGTTTTCTCCCAGACAGGAGGGAAGGTAGATATTTACCTGTCTCCAGTGTAAATTAAGCATTATGGAATCAAAACAATGGAACCCCTATTTACATATGAACCTGCAGGGGGATAGGAAGTCAACAGGAAGGGAAGAATAGCAGGTAGCTGTCTCTTGTAACAGGGTCAATGAACTTTGGAAGGTATAAGCAGAAACAGAAAGCCATTGTGGTACCCATCACTTGGGGGATTAAAGGGGCCAGGGTTCCTGAAATCACAGAATGTTGAATCCTTCAGCCAAGGGGCTTGACGTCTCTGGGAACTGAGTTTAGGTGAGAAACCTGCTTAGGCAAAGATTGTAACTTGCTGAAATTAAGTTTAGTGGTAGAAGAGTATCTTTCTTTTGTTTCCTTGTAACTTTCTCTCTTTTCCCTTACATTAAGTATCCCTTAATCTTATGTCCCTTTGTTAAAATAAACTTGTTTTATTTTACTATAAAGCAAATCAGTGCTGTGATTGAAATAGGAGCATTTGTCAAACCCCAGTAAAATGAATGAGCTACAGAATATTACCTCTTTAAAGGATCAACAAAATTAACTTCAGTAAGTGTTCAGTGAGAGGGATGGACACTGCAGAGAGACATCTCTGAAGAACTCAGAATTTGGGGCTCACTGTTTGTTACCTGCAAGGTAAGGTTTCAACTGGCAGAGTCCTGAAGAATTTGCTGACAAGACAGACAAGCTGGTGTGTCAAGGAGTTGTCACACAGCTTAGCTGTAGCACAACTCTCATTTTCTGAGGCTTGAGAGGGATAACATATGAGATGTTGAACCCCATAATGCTTTATGGGAATATGCTTATGAATGTATATATGACATAACTGGAATATGTTTTATGCTACATATGCCATGTAACATATCTCTATAAAGGTTATGATCTACTGAATATATTCATTCTATTTGTATGCATGTATCATTTTTGAATTCAAAGTTATCAATATTAGCTATGTACTTGTTTAATTTTAAGTAGCCTCAGTGAAGCAGTTGGTCAGCTTCCTGAGAAAAATCTATTCTCAGTAAGTGCCCAATCAAGAAACACTTAAGCGAACAATGAACTTGGAGATGCCAATCCACATGTGAGTTTTCCCAGGAATGTGGCCTAGCTGGTAACGAACTCAATCATGCATGGACATGTGACTCGCCCATGTGACTCCAAAACTCCATCTTGGAGCTGAATTCTGGATAGGAGAGAGGAGGGGGTCTGCACCACAAAAGAAAGTCTAGTTAAGCCCCTGGGAGATCCCTCCATTTTGTCTTCAGCTGGCTCAAGAGGTAGCCTCTCCACCCCCAAACGATACCTGAAAGAAACTGGAACAAAGGACAGTAACCACAGGGGTGTGAGTGATTGCTGGACCCAGACTAGAAGGAGGCTAGTCTGTAAAAGAAACTTATTGGAACATCTCTGAGGGTGAGATTTCATCTGTAATTACTTTCTTACTGTATTAGGTTTAGACTTGCGTGTTTTATTTTATTTTGCTTGGTAATTCGCTTTGTTCTATCTGTCATTACTTGGAACCACTTTAATCCTACTTTTTGTATTTAATAAAATCATTTTTTACTTATTAATTAACCCAGAGTATGTATTAATACCGGGGGGGGGGGGAATGGGGGTTCGGCGGCAAACAGCTGTGCATATCTCTATCAGTGTTATGGAGGTTTCAGAGTAACAGCCGTGTTAGTTTGTATTCGCAAAAAGAAAAGGAGTACTTGTGGCACCTTAGAGACTAACCAATTTATTTGAGCACGAAAGCTCATGCTCAAATAAATTGGTTAGTCTCTAAGGTGCCACAAGTACTCCTTTTCTTTTTAGTGTTATGGAGGGCGAAGAATTTATGAGTTTATCCTGTATAAGCTTTATTCAGGGTAAAACGGATTTATTTGGGGTTTGGACCCCATTGGGAGCTGGGCATCTGAGTGTTGGAGACAGGAACACTTCTTAAGCTGTTTTCAGTTAAGCCTGCAGCTTTTAGGTAATGTGGCTCAGACCTGGGGCTGTGTTTGTAGCAAGCTAATGTGCCTGGCTCAAACAAGGCAAGGTTCTGAAGCCCCAAGCTGCCAGAGAAAACGGGCTCAGAGGTAGTCTCGGCACATCATTTAGAGGGTTTCTGTGATCCAACCCATCACAACACAGTAACTCACAATGCTGAGAATCCCAGCAGACAGTCACAGTAAGTCTTTTAGACTTGGCCTCTACTCAAAGCTTGAGTGAGCATAGCTATTCTGGGCAGAGATATGAAAAAAACACACCCCTGACTGACAATTATGGCAACAAAAAGCCCCAGTGTAGACGCAGCCAGAAAAGTGCTTCTGTAAGCACAATGTTCTTTACGGAGGTCATATTCCTACATTCGCAGAAAAATTCCTTCTGTCAATGTATGCTGTGCCTACACAAGGTGGCTATGCAGGCATTGCTATGACACCATAGGCTCTGTAGTGCAGACACATCTTTAAAGTCATGTAGCCAACCTACAATGGAAGCAGACACAGGAATGTTCTTACAAACAAATGGGCTTTGCTTCTACTGGTATGAGTGGAACCCTAGGGTTGCAAAGACAAGATGAGTTCAGGCAATGAACCTGAAATGACTGAGAACAAAAGTGTCTTTAGTAATTTACATATAGTAGAGATAACTATAGAATTAAAAAACAGTTGTATTTCTTACCTATAAGACCTTTCTCAAGAGTGAAGGTTTTGTTGGTAAACATGCATTCAAATGCCACAATATGGAAAACTTTGTTCACTGTGTTGTGGGTGCCAACTATTCGGATGTACCTAAGAGAAGAGAGAAAAAACAAGTTAAAGACAATGAAGACCCACTTCCCAAGTTACCAATGATTCATTAGGACGCTGTCAGTGCTCTTGCCCTATCAAAGTATTTTGCCCAGCCACAAGAACCGGAGAATTGTTAAGAAGATTATGGATTTGACTACAGATATTGCACCTACTCAGAAATTCTGGCTCCAACAGAGCTTAGAAGAGTTACAGCAAATTTAAGAGCTGTGAAATGTATCAGAATTTTACAGGATTTGGATTAGATTTATCAAGAAAATCAAAACAAGACATCATCCAGCTCAAACATCAACTGTTTGTCCATAATACAACAACATTTGAGAACTAAAAATAGCTGCCTGATTCTACTAATGGCTACAGAGGCTAATTGACAACTTTCCACTACAATGAAAGATTTCATACACTAAAAATAAACTCAATAAATCAATGTTGCTTCCCTACAGAAGCCATAAATTCTCTTTTATTATAATGCTGCTTCTAATTCCAAATTGCTAAATTAACTCTTGATACATCAGACACCAACTTCTTTCTTGCAATACCTTTTATTAATTCCAGAAAAGTTATTTGAACAGTCAGGCTTCTGGGTTTCACTCTTGGTTATATAGCTTGCACTTCTGAACACTAACGCAAAGTCACAGGCAGTGGCTGTTGAACAAAGTGGCCTATTCACCCTCTGCATTACCTTGGAGGCTTCACCTTCTACAAACAAGTATTAACCTTGAATCAATCTGCTCCCCTCATTTTCCAAAGGGATCTGACCGTTCAGAGGTTAATGAACAGTTGAAGTCATTATTATGAGTTCTGGAAAATCCCAAATGGGATACTATATGCTGTCTTGGTGGATCTTAAAAAACAACCAGGAAAATGACTTGAATAGATAGCATTTCTCCAATTATGAATTATCCACACTGAAGGAAGATGCATATTAAATGAACAGATTTCAATTAAGAGAAAGTAGAAGCTGTAAGACGTTAGCAATATCTTTCCCTTTGCTGTGTAAAATAACCTTTCATTTATCTAATGTAATTTTAGTTCTAACCTAATGGCTGTTCGCTAATACAGTAAGCTTGTCTCACGTTCATCATCACTCCAAGTTAACTAGGTAAAGTAAATGATGATTTTTTTTTAGCCCTTAACTAAGAAAGCTTTTTGTACTTAGGGCTATTTTCCCTTCTAGTTTTATTTAGGTCCCATCTACATACCAAAATGACTGTGTTACAGGCACAATTCTTAAAAACTGCTGTTGATAAATGTTTCAACTAATACGTATTTTTCATTAGTGTAGGCAGAGCGGAATTCTTTAAAATGCTTTTAAATAAGTGGTTTACGAAATTTTTACTACATCCACAAAGGTGGCTAAACTATGTAAGCTGAAAACATTTGAAAGATCAACTTTTAAAATAAATCTCCTAATGTGATTTTATGTTGCAGACAGAATTTTAGTCTATCTTTAGGCAGTCAGCAAATACATTTATTTATTTTATCTGCTGACTGTTTCAAAGTGTTGACTTACTTAAAATTTATTACTAAATACACTTTTTGGCCAACTTATGTGACATGCTAAATCATACTGAATTTATGAACTTTCTCCAACAGGGAGCTGTAAGCCTCTATCTGCGCTACACATGATGCAGAACATGTAATGTTAACTCTTGTGAGTACCACAACTTTGGCTCTTGCTGCTGGCAGTCCTGTAATGACAAAAAATTCAGTCATGTGATTTTTGAGGGAAAGAAACTCCTTCATACAGGGAAGGTGTACTATACTGCATGCCTAGAGACCAAAGTTCTAGTCCAAGTTCTTTCACTGACTGCTGTTAATATTTCTGAACCCTTCACAATCCTTATAATGAATCAAGGCTTCATGCCAGTATGTTGGGGGGAACTATCACTCACCCATTTCACAGATAGATACCTGAGAGTACACACACAGCTGGGAATAGAATATAACAGAGCCAAATATTATACACTTTGCCTCACAGCATTTCAGAAGATCTTCTAGTTCTTTAGCTTAAGTGATAGAAGTTCATGCTTTTACATCTAGCAGTCCCAGGTCTGATCCTTTCAGATTACCCAGAGGTATTGTTACATTTGACTTTGCTGACGACAACTCTCATATCACACTGCTCCCAGAGCCAGAGCCAGAAACCAAAATACTGTTGCACAGAATTTTACTGTAGTCTCAAAAATACTTGCAAAGTGTATGTTGTCTCCCTGTATAGGCTGGTCCCCATAGAGAACAACAGAATGCTCTTTTCCTCCACCAGTTACTCCTAAAGTATAGTAGGAGAGGTCAGTGCTGTGAATCTGAAGGTTGTCAAACCCTGCTTATGACCCATGTGGAGGTGAAAAAAACATATACATATATGTATAAAAGTTAGTGAAACAACCCTGGAGTAACTGCTGGCATGATTTTATATTGCTAAACGTATTTAGAAGTGAATTTGGGTGTTGTATTGTTGTATTTCTGGTGTTTGTATCTTTCCCTTTAAGGATAGGGCGTGGTACTCTTCTGTAGAGTCTTTCAGATTGAGACCAAGGGGCAAGATATTTTGCTGGTGAGTCTAGAGAGGGGAAGAACCTGCCTCTGCAAACTCCAAAAAATTCAGAACTTACAATAAACCTATCTTTCAGAAGGCAAGCATTATTATCTGAAGTGTAACATCAGAACTTATGGGGGACTGAATATCTCAGGGCATTGCTAATGAACAAAGCTCTTCGCTGTTGGTATTTACTGATTTTCTCAAAAAAAATTCCGGGTTTTGAAAAAGCCAGTATTTGGGTTTTATTGATTTTCACCCAAATTTTGGCTTTTTTGGGACCCATAAATGTTCTGTGGAAGAAACACACAGGGCTATGCTGAAGGGCCAGGGTTAGGAGGGTAACGGAAGGCTGCACTCCATGAGTACTGATCCCCCACCCATAGACTGAGGCTGACCCCAGCCCTTCGGCACAACCCTGTCTACTTCCCAGGGCCACGCGGAAGGGCTGGGGTCAGGAGTGGGTGCTGTCTGGCAGAGGAAGCAGATGGGCTCCTTGTGGGTGGTCTCTACTGCCAGGACCACCAGGCTCCCTGCCCATCTCGCTCTCCAGTGGTGCAGGTGCTGCAGCCATCAACTGGCAGTTAGCCTACTCTGTGCAGGAAGCCAGCAGGGACTCTGTGAATGGGGAGCTGAAGATAGGACCTTGGAATCTGTGGCAGGATGGTCAATGCTTCTGGCCCTTTAGCACAAACCACTCTGCTTCCTCTGTGTAGTGAGGGAGCGAGAAGAGCAGGGAGCCCATTTCTGGCAACTGAGACCACAATCACATCAGTAACCCCTGCCCTAGGCAACCCTTCTCTGCCCATTGCCCTTTGTTTTAGATTACTTACTTTCTCTGTTTTTAAAATTTAGAATAAACACTAATACATTCCCAGGAAATTTTGAAAAAAAATACCATAAATATCCAAAATGAAGGGCCTTACTAATGAGCTACCTAGCCTTTCACCTGCAGGTTGTCAGTTTGAATCCTAATTTTAATTTAATTTAATTTTAACTTTCAAAGGGCAAATTCATTGGTATACCAGAGCACTGCAAAGCAACCAAACTAATTAAGGTTCCAGAGTAACAGCCGTGTTAGTCTGTATTCGCAAAAAGAAAAGGAGTACTTGTGGCACCTTAGAGACTAACCAATTTATTTGAGCATGAGCTTTCGTGAGCTACAGCTCACTTCATCGGATGCATCCGATGAAGCGAGCTGTAGCTCACGAAAGCTTATGCTCAAATAAATTGGTTAGTCTCTAAGAAACTAATTAAGCTGGGTTTACAGCTGCTTAGTATCTCTAGAGAGACACAAAGCTACTGAAATCTACTGGTGAATCTGGCCCTTAATTTGCAACTGACTAAATGTTTTAGAGAGCTGTATTACATACACTGATGCCGTGTGAAAAGAAGGTTGCTCGGTGCCTCATCCGTAGGGTCTAATGTCTCCGTGCTTTAAGGCGTAATGTCTCCCTGCTCTCCTGGCTCATTTGTGCTGCCAGTGGACCCAAACTAGCTGGGCCCTGGGGAACCTCCCAGCACTGATGCCCAAGTTACCATACGGTGAAGGAATCTTTAAAGAGCAATGACAGTTGGACAAGCGAGAACTCTTCTCATCTGTTCTGTCTCCCTCAGATCACTTACTGATTACAACCAAGAGAACTGCTGTGTGCAAATTAGCTGAAGATGAAGGGTGGTGATTGGTTGAGCTACCTCTAATGTCACAAAGATCACACTTAAAAGCTACTTAAGCAGTTCACCTTACCCTTTCTGTAGCTTACTTAAAAGCTTTTAGATAAAAAAATCAACAATAACATGGCTTAATTACAACTAAATTTCTTCAAATATAGCCTACGCACAGGATTTCAATTAATTTTAACTAAGTGGAAAGTTTGGAAAGTTTTTATTTCAGTATGAAATAGTGTTTCTTTATGTATGAAAAAAACAGTGTCTCATATATATATATATATATATATACACACACACAGTTTTTTTAATACATAAAGAAGCTGAATCCCAGCCTTAAATGCAAAACAGAAGTCAACCTTAACTATGGAGTCACAGCCAGTGCCTCCAGAATACGTACAATATATTATACAAAATTTGGAAAGCTCTTGAAAATACTTCAAAATGTAGAGAGATATCTAAATGAAAGATATTAAAGTATATTACCTTAAATGCATATTCTTACTACTACACTCACCTACCTTGTGAATATAATACCTATATTGGTCCATGTTTAATTATTCACCTTTAAAATTCACTGTAATCTCAGGAAATTAAAATGTAAAATTCACAAAATGACGTATTTTAAAATAACTTCCTCCGTAAAAATAGATAAATACATCATTAATCCTTCACCAGTCAAACTGACCAAATGGAAAGAATATTTTGTAACTTGTCCAGCAGGAGGTGCTATATGAAAAACATCATCTCCATAAAAGATCAATAGCATCCCCAC